GGGAAAGAGAAAGCAAGCCATCAGGTCTAGGACTCACTCTGGTTGGCCATGTGGGAGTCCAGCACCTCAACCACCATGCCATCTGCTGCCCCCCTGACTTTTATTTATTTTTTGGAGAGGTTTTTGCTATAGGGCGCGTGCGCTCACCAGACAGAGACAGACAGCGAGAAATCACCCCCTAGGGGGTATGGTCATGCGGCAATCCCTTCTCTTCCATTCTCTTGGGATCTTGGGCACATGCACCCGGAGTGAGTTTTAAACCACCAGGTCCGGGACTAGAACCGCAGTCGACTACATGGGAGTCCAGCGACATAGCCATTAGGCTCACTGCTGGCCCCACCCCCTGACTTTTCTTTGAGTCTCCAAGTGTTGGTATAATTTTTAGGTAAAGGAGGGTTTAATACAGCAATTATTCCTCTCTTCCTCCATCTTTTGAGTTGAAGGAGCTGTAAGAGGAACACCTGAAATTAAGAATTGTGGTAACATCCTTGGTATACCACTTTTTTTCCTTACCTCCTCTCCAAAAGCGGAGGTGACAATAAGCAAGTCAGTTTGACAAACCCCCTTCTGCCCTTATTTTCAGTTACATTGAAAGGGAACTGAATCGCCATGGGAATGTGCAAATGTGAAGTTTGCATACACTAATCATGCAAACAGTATTCTATACCTTCCCTCATTTTTTTTTTTAAGAATTATTTTATTTAACTTTATTTTAATTTGACCAGAGAGGAACAGAGCAAGAGAAACAAGGCAAGCCGCCAGGTCCGGGTCTCAAACCACGGTATGCCATGTGGGAGTCCAATGCCCTTAACTACCATGCTACCTGCTGACACCCACCCCCATTCCCGTTTGTTTTTGTATGACTTGAACAGTGGGGTTAAGGACACCACCCCTGTAGTCAAAAATCTGCATATAACTTGGTTCCCCAGAAACTACTGGCCTAATCTTCACTGGAATCCTTACCGATAACAGTATTGGGTGTGTTCAATGTATTATATACCGTCATCTTAACAATAAAAAAAAGAAAAGATATTAAGGAAATTACAAGGAAGAGAAAAATGTGTCGAGCCAGCTGGTAGTGTGGTTAAGGCAGCTGGATCTCACGTGACCGTCAGCATGGTTGAGTCCTAGATCAGAGGCTTGAAACAGGCTGGGTGCGTGTGTGTGCCTGGCCAAAATCCCCAAGAGAAGAATGGAGAACAGATTGCAGCATGATCATCCCCTCCTGGGAGGTGTGGGCATCCCCCATGCCTGCGGAGGGGTGCTTTCTAACTTTCCCTCTCTGGCAAACATATCTAGCAAATTAAAAGAGGAAACATGTTGGGAACTAGCAGTTGGCGTAATGGCTATGTCGCTGGACTCCCACGTAGTCAACCGCAGTTCGCGTCCCGGACCCGGTGGCTTAAACTCACACCGGGCGCGTGTGCGTGCGTGCCCGAGATCCCAAGAGGAGAATGGAGGAGAAGGGATTGCGGCGTGACCATCCCCCCTGGGGGGTGATTTCTCGCTTTACCACCATGCCATCTGCTGCCCCCCTGACTTTTATTTATTTTTTGGAGAGGTTTTTGCTATAGGGCGCGTGCGCTCACCAGACAGAGACAGACAGCGAGAAATCACCCCCTAGGGGGTATGGTCATGCGGCAATCCCTTCTCTTCCATTCTCTTGGGATCTTGGGCACATGCACCCGGAGTGAGTTTTAAACCACCAGGTCCGGGACTAGAACCGCAGTCGACTACATGGGAGTCCAGCGACATAGCCATTAGGCTAACTGCTGGCCCCACCCCCTGACTTTTCTTTGAGTCTCCAAGTGTTGGTATAATTTTTAGGTAAAGGAGGGTTTAATACAGCAATTATTCCTCTCTTCCTCCATCTTTTGAGTTGAAGGAGCTGTAAGAGGAACACCTGAAATTAAGAATTGTGGTAACATCCTTGGTATACCACTTTTTTTCCTTACCTCCTCTCCAAAAGCGGAGGTGACAATAAGCAAGTCAGTTTGACAAACCCCCTTCTGCCCTTATTTTCAGTTACATTGAAAGGGAACTGAATCGCCATGGGAATGTGCAAATGTGAAGTTTGCATACACTAATCATGCAAACAGTATTCTATACCTTCCCTCATTTTTTTTTTTAAGAATTATTTTATTTAACTTTATTTTAATTTGACCAGAGAGGAACAGAGCAAGAGAAACAAGGCAAGCCGCCAGGTCCGGGTCTCAAACCACGGTATGCCATGTGGGAGTCCAATGCCCTTAACTACCATGCTACCTGCTGACACCCACCCCCATTCCCGTTTGTTTTTGTATGACTTGAACAGTGGGGTTAAGGACACCACCCCTGTAGTCAAAAATCTGCATATAACTTGGTTCCCCAGAAACTACTGGCCTAATCTTCACTGGAATCCTTACCGATAACAGTATTGGGTGTGTTCAATGTATTATATACCGTCATCTTAACAATAAAAAAAAGAAAAGATATTAAGGAAATTACAAGGAAGAGAAAAATGTGTCGAGCCAGCTGGTAGTGTGGTTAAGGCAGCTGGATCTCACGTGACCGTCAGCATGGTTGAGTCCTAGATCAGAGGCTTGAAACAGGCTGGGTGCGTGTGTGTGCCTGGCCAAAATCCCCAAGAGAAGAATGGAGAACAGATTGCAGCATGATCATCCCCTCCTGGGAGGTGTGGGCATCCCCCATGCCTGCGGAGGGGTGCTTTCTAACTTTCCCTCTCTGGCAAACATATCTAGCAAATTAAAAGAGGAAACATGTTGGGAACTAGCAGTTGGCGTAATGGCTATGTCGCTGGACTCCCACGTAGTCAACCGCAGTTCGCGTCCCGGACCCGGTGGCTTAAACTCACACCGGGCGCGTGTGCGTGCGTGCCCGAGATCCCAAGAGGAGAATGGAGGAGAAGGGATTGCGGCGTGACCATCCCCCCTGGGGGGTGATTTCTCGCTTTCTGTCTCTGTCTGTCTGGCGAGCGCACGCACCCTATAGCGAAAACCTCTCAAAAAAAAAGAGGAAACATGTAAATAGACTTATGCAGTTCAAAACCATGTTAAACTTTTTTTAAAGAAGTATTTAATTTTGTCAATTTTTTAAAAATGTGCTGGGACCAGCAGTTAGCATAATGGCTATGTTGCTGAACTCCCATATAGCCAACCACAGTTTGAGTCCCAGACCCGGTGGCTTAAACTCATGCTGGGCACATTTGCTTGGGTGCCCAAGATCCTGAGAGAATGGAGGAGAAGGGATTGCTGTGTGGCCATCCCCCCCTAGGGGGTGGTTTCTCGCTTTCTATCTCTCTGTCTCTCTCTGTCTTTCTGGCGAGCACATGCACCCTATAGCAAAAACCTCTCAAAAAAAAAAAATTTGCTACAAGACACATGTACTCATCAGACAGAAAGTGAGAAAGCAAGCCCCAGGTCCAGGACTCAAACTATGGTCGGTCATGTGGGAGTCCAGCTCCTTTCATTGTCATGCCACCTGCTGGTCCTCAAGGATCAACTATTTCAAAGTCCATTTTGGGGGACCAGGAGGTGACATAATTAAGGTGTTGAATCACAGTGGCTGGCTAACTCCCTGGGTTCTAGTGACTTAAAACAACCCTGGGTGGGACCAGTAGGTGGTGTGGTGGTTAAGGCGCTGGACACTCTCACATGGCCGACCATGGTTTGAGTCCCAGACCTGGTGGCTTGCTTTCTCACTTTCCCTCTCTCTCTCTCTCTCTCTCTCTCTCTCTCTGTCTTTGGTCAAATTAAAAGATAAATGAGTGGGTAAATAGTTTTTTTTTAAAAGAATTATTAAAAAAATATAAAAGAAGAGAACAAGCCTGGGTGTATGTGTGTGTCTTCCCAAAATCCTGAGAGGAGAATGGAGAAGGGATTGTGGCATGGCCATTCCCCACACCCACTGGCAGGAGTGGTGATTTCCTGACCTTCCCCCTCTGCATGGCAAGCTTAACAGAAACGTCTTTAAAAAGTGAATTTTGGTGGCCAGCCTAGTGGCACAGTTAGCAAACTGAGCTGTGATACTAGAGACAACATGGGTGACCCTTGGGTTCAGATCCCCAGATTGTCCTAAATGGCCTGAAATCATACCGGGTGCCCTTTGACAGACCATGTTGAGGGTGTGTGTGCATGTGCGTGTGTGTCCCCAGTTCCTAGTCCCCACACTCATGAATAAGTTTTTTTTTTTTTGAGAGGTTTTTACTATAGGGCACATGCGCTCGCCAGAAAGAGAGAGACAGAGAGATAGAAAGTGAGAAATCACCCCCCAGGGAGGATGGCCACACCGCAATCCCATCTCCTCCTCCCTTCTCCTCTCAGGATCTTGGGCATGCACGCACACGCGCCTGGCATGAGTTTAAGCCGCCGAGTCCAGGACTCGAACCACGGTCGACTACATGGGAGTCCAGCGACATAGCTATTACGCTAATTGCGGGTCCCTTTATAGAGATTTTTGATATAGGGTGTGTGCTTTCGCCAGAGAGAAAGGGAGAAATCACCCCCCAGGGAGGATGGCCACACCACAATCTATCCTCCATTCCCCTCTCAGGACTTTGGACACGCTTTCACACATGCCTGGCCCAAGTTTCAAGCTACCAGGTCTAGGACTCGAACCTTGGTCACTAATGTGGGAATCCAGTGCCTTAACCACTATGCTGCCTGCTGGCCCCTCATGTATAAGCTTTTTAAAAAGTTCATCTTGACTTGGAAGCCCC